GGGGGGGGATATTCTTTGTACTGCATTACCAAAAAAGGTTTATTGAGAAGGGGAGAGACGTTTTTCCACCAGAATCCCGCCATGAAGATACTGGTGTAGGATGGTACTACCGGAGTTCCCATGACTGTTCTGTTAACGTTTGAGAATACTAGTCGTTAGTGAAGAAGTTGTTGAGGGATAGGACTTGTTCTAGTATTTTATAATTTTTTGGGTTATTTGACGACTATTTTATTTTGTTGTGTGACAAGTGAGGGCTTCATCAACAAACTTGTATATATATTGACACGTGTTGTATTGCGCATGTATGGACAATATTACTGCTGTTAAATACCCTACTATCTATAAGAAAGAAAATATTCGTAAGTAAATTGACGTCTGTTACGCACTGATTAAGCTCTCACTTTGAACACAGAAGATGTCTGTTCGATTCTTGAAATGCGGAAGTTTATTAAATTGTCTCTGTTTTTTTGTAGTACATTATATTACACCACTAAACCCAATTTTGCCGTGGCAGGCGAATCGACGCAACTTGTCTCTGTATGTAATGATCTGTATCCTGTCGATATGTGTTTGGAAAAAAAAAACCCATACATTTTTAGTTCCAATTTGTATATTCCTGACAAACGTTTATGGTATTCTAAGGAATCAAGTTTGGCTCTGGTGGACAAAACCTATTCCCTAGAATAGACAGACCCACACTCTCACTAACTCAAACACACACATACACACACACACACACACACACACACACACACACACACACATACACACAAACAAACAAACACACACACACACACATATATATATACTCACACACACACACACGTGCTCCGCGTGTTGGGCGAGTGAAAGGTTTAAAAAACATTCTCCCCTTATACTTTGGACGAGAAAAAAATAGTTTGGCTTGCATTTGTCATATTTCCAAACTTGACAGAAACAAAACTGCTAAATATTATTTTTGTCATATTTTCAAGTTCTTCGAAGACAACGTCCGACCTTTCTTTCCAAAGATTAGTTTTTTACTTCTTTTTTTTCTTTCTTCTTTTTTTGGATCAATAATGTGCCAGGTGCCAGTCATGCATTGCAGGCTATTACAGTATTGTTTGCACGGCTTCAGAACTCTCCAAATTATCAACAGGATCCCGACATTACTACACGGTCTCTTTTTGTTCTTTTCTTTTCTTTTTTTTTTTTTTTTTTTGGTTGTTGTTGTTGCTGTTGGTTTTAACTAAACACAACCTTTTTCTTCTGTTGTTGAATTCTCAAAGGGCTGAGCTTCGACATTGACAACCGCTTAGAAAGCTGCACTCCCAAGAACATCTCTGACAAGAGCAATGTGCGCTTGCCTTTTGACTTCATCAGCAACGGCCAAGTCCACCAACTCACTGCCGATGCTTTCTTCTATAAAGGAAAGAACGTCTATCAATATCTTGGAGAGGTAAAACATCATCGTTTTGGTCCGGTTGGGTTTCGTCGGTTTCGGGCTTGCTCAAGGAGCAACCTCGATGGGCTGGCCGGATTGTCCTCCTCTTACTTACTTACCACCCGTTACGCCATCTGGCGTTTAGGGCAGCAACTAAGGATCTCCAGACAGGAGTGACAAACCGACAAAACCGATGATAACCTTCAATAACAAACGTTCTTGTTGTCAAGGTCGTGCGTCGGACAGTCGGTTTGGGCAGTTGGTCTATTTATAGAGTGCACTGAAGCCGCCAGAAACCGAACCGAACCAAACCGAACCAATCCCCAAGACCCTGGCCAATCTTCCAGTAAACACCGCCAAGAAGGGAAGATCATTGCGACAGTTAATTTCACGAGGTTGGAAAAAGGGGGGGGGGGAGTAATTTGCAGCACTTTAGCTCAGCATTGGTGAGTCCTTATACGGGGTGCCCATTACGGCAGGTCGGGCCGATCGCTCGACTCGTTCGCCATGAAAACAAAACGTGTTTGTTTATGCGGCGATCACCATGATCACGTGATATTGGTGAGTGTTGAACCGTCGTCTGTGGTGGCACGGTCAAATGGAGGTTGGCTGATTGGGGAGGTTGACAGTGGTAACGGCGAATTTGAGTGACATAACGATGGTTTAATATGCTGAGAACTGTGTAACTAGTTTTTTGAAAAGTTTTTAAAATGCAAAAAACACCCAGGCAATATGCAGATGTAATAAATGATGATTGAAGACCCACGTTTAGAGTACATTACGCTATTTATTTACTGCCTCCTGGGTTTTGGTGGAGGTTTTTTAGTTTTAGGACCTGCAGGTCGCCCTGGATAATAATTTTAGATTAGGGAAATAAACAAATAAATAGATAATAAGTTAAAGAATTGATCAATTTCCTTCAGTTTTGTCACAGTACCATTGATAAGAATTATCGGGTGACATTCAAGGGTGACGTTTGTTTGTAAAAAATAGAAATCGGAGTTCTGTTTTCTCCGTGGGCATTTGTGGGGGAGGGAGGGTGGATATTTTAACATCACCTGGTGATTGTGGGATCAAAGGTCGCTAATCCGGTCGACAAGCAAATAGTGGTCAAACCTTCACACCCCTCAACTGCCGTCTCCTCTGATAATTGCATGCGTCAGTCTTACTTATCCAATGACCACCAATCTATACGTTCTTTGACCGTCTAGCCACCAATACATGTACATTTGTGTACTTGCATTTCATAGGACCACTGTTTAAACCTATTTAAAAAAGGAAACGTCTTGAACCTCTGCTTTGCTTCCACCCTTAGCCTCACCCGTCGGTGTAACAAGCGCAGTCAACCAATGCCACCCCTCTCCGCCACGTAACAACGATTAGAGGGTCTCTTTTCTCGGCTGGTCGTACGACCAGGACGGCAGGCATTGGTCAAACTAGATTCACACTTCTGGCTTCTGGCTACCCAGGAAAGTTCCCGTGGTGGATCGCTACTCGAGCACTTTCATTGGCACTCGTGAGATATCACACCCACACCTCCTTGACCATCTGCATCGCTCAGGGATCACATAGACAGGTTAACGTCTACGTCTATAGGGTAACATCAAGGAGATTAAAAGTAATGGAGGATGCTCTGTAGGCGGCACCGCACGCCTGATAGGAGCCCTCTCTCGCAGCGGAACTGTGGTCTACCTGCGCTGCGCTCACGCAATGAAATCTAGATAAGAAAGAAGGTTTTATTCCGAGATTAGGCAAGTCAATTTTAAAAAATGCCTTCCACCTACG